AAAAAGCCTTTGATAAGGTCAAACATTTATTCATGATAAAAACTTTACAGAAAATTGGAATAGATGGTCTTTACCTCAATATAATAAAGGCCATTTATGACAAACCAACAGCTAGCATCATACTAAATGGCCAAAAATTTCAAACCTTTACTTCAAAATCAGGCACAAGATAGGATGTCCTTTATCACCACTCCTATTTAATATAGTATTGGAAGTACTAGCCAGAGCAGTTAGGCAAGAGAGAGAAATAAAAGGGGTAAAGATAGGAAAAGAAGAAGTTAAATTATCATTGTTTGCAGATAACATGATACTCTACATAGAAGACCCCCTAAACTCCATTGAAAGACTCTTAGATACAATAAATAAATTCAGTAATGTGGCTGGGTACAAAATCAATACTCAGAAATCAATAGCATTCCTATACACGAACAACAAAATCACAGAGAGGGAAATAAGAGAAACTGGACTATGCACATTAGCAAGCAAAAAAATGAAATATTTAGGAATTACTCTTATGAAAGAAGTGAAAGACTTATACAGTGAAAATTATAATACACTGTAAAAGGAAATTGAAGATGATCTCAGAAAATGGAAAGACATCCCTTGCTCATGGATAGGAAGAACAAACATTGTGAAAATGGCCATTCTCCCAAAACTGTTATACAGATTCAATGCAATCCCAATAAAAATACCATCAACATACCTTATATATCTAGAGAAATCATTCCTAAAATTCATCTGGAACCAGAAGAGACCTAGAATAGCAAAGGCAATTCTAAGCAGCAAAGGCAAGGCAGGAGGCATCACAATCCCTGACTTGAAGTTATACTACAAAGCAACAGTAGTAAAATCAACATGGTATTAGAATGAAAACAGAGCCGAAGATCAATGGAGTAGATCATAAGATACAACCACAACTACAAACACACTAAACCACCTTATCTTTGATAAAGGAGCCAAACAGGTTCACTGGAAGAACGGCAGTCTCTTTAATAAATGGTGCTGGAAAAACTGGCTCTCCATTTGCCGAAAACTAAAGCTAGACCCATGTCTATCACCATGTACTCAATTAAAATCTAAATGGGTCAAAGATCTGAATATTAAATCAGAAACACTAAATCTATTGGAAGATAAATCGGGTAGAAACCTTGAAGACATAGGAGTAGGTAGAGAATTCATGAACAGGATTCAAACCGCACGGGAAATACTTCCCAGAATCAATAACTGGGACCACTTCTTATTAAAAAGTTTCTGCATGTCAAAAGAAATCTCCAGCATAGTGAAAAGAAAACCCACAAACTGGGAAAAGATTTTATTGAACTCTCTCTCAGACAAGGGACTCTTGTCTAAAACATATAAAGAATTTTAAAACTCAGACCCCCAAAATTCAAAGATCCAATCCAAAAATGGGCAACTGAGATGAATACGCACTTCTCAGATGAAGAAATACAAATGGCAAATAAATACATGAAAAAACGTTCATCATCATTGGTCATTAGAGAAATGCAAATTAAAACCACACTGAGATACCATCTCACTCCTGAAAGAATGGCCAGGATCAAGAAAGCCAACAACAACAAATGCTGGAGAGGCTGTGGGGAAAAAGGAACTCTCCTACACTGTTGGTGGGAGTGTAGACTGGTGCAACCTTTGTGGAGGTCAGTCTGGAGATCTCTCAAAAAGCTGGGATTGGAAGTCCCGTTTATTCCAGCTATTCCACTTCTAGGCATATTCCCAGAAGAACTGAAAGCATCATACCACAGTAATATATGTGCACCTATGTTTGTAGCAGCACAATTTGTAATTGCCAGATCTTGGAAAAAACCCAAGTGTCCATCAATTGAGGAATGGATAAAAAAGTTGTGGTATTTCTATACAATGGAGTATTATTCAGCTATAAAAAAGGATCACATTGAGCTATTTATCAATAAATTGGTGCAGCTTGAGACCATACTCATAAGTGAAATAAATCGATCTCACATGTGTGAATACCGAATAGTTTCCCTAATGTAAGTAATGATTCAAAAGTATAAAAATATATGGTAATCATGATTCCCCATTATGTGGCCTTGAAGCCTTATAAAGTTTTCACTTATTAATTGGAAAGGCTTTATTCTGGGCTTCTTGATATGGAAATATTTGAATCTAGAGTATATGAAGTTTCATTCAAATATTTCAAGGAAAAAGACAGACACTATGGTAACTACTATTAAGTCGGGTTATTTGGTGGGGAAGCACTTGGTTGCTAAAACAGTCATGCTTTGACCTGTATTGTTATGTTGTTATGTCCTGTTTTATCTCAATCTCTCCCTTATTCATAAAAAAAAAACATTTAGTTATTTTTTGTGTTTTTTTTAATTAAGGGGGAAAAATTTTTAAATTAGTATGATATATAATAGTAACTTTTTTTGATTTCCTATTAACTTGTTTTGAAGTCCTGTAATACTCCCACTATCTTGTTTTGACTGATTAGACCCTGTTCCATTCTGTATGATAGTATCAAGTTTGAGGGTATAGGCAACTACTTTGAAGGCAATAAGATTCACTAAGATGCCCATTCTGGTTTGACTATTGTCTCCTTTGGAAGTCCTGTAATATTTACAATGCTTAAGTTTTATTGGTCTTGTTCTCTACTGTTTTGTTCAACTTTATAATATCTAATGAGATAGACAATTCTTTTTAAGGAAACAAGAGACAACGTTGACAACCATTGTTGATAACCTTGTACTCTGTTTTACATCATGTGCTATGTCTATCCTTGGTTTTGACTGACAGCTTTGTTTTGCCATATTTGACTCTGTTCTCCCCTGCCCCAAAAAGTAATAAGAACTAAGGAGTAATAATACCCAAAATGTGTAAATTTTGTTGTAAAAAAGAGAGCGAAAGAAAGTGCTCTATAGGATACAACAGTAAGTGTGTTTAGGGGTGTTAAATAGCTGACCATATTAATGTTTTTGGTTGGATCATTGAACACAACTGCTTGCAGTCTCACTGTTTAAATGTACACTTTGTATGCTTTGACTCTGTGATTTGACTAACTATCTCTAAGATAATAATATGTAATCTATTAACTGGTGATTTCTTACTGTTTTTTTTGGTTTTGGTTTTTGTTTTTTTTGTAGTTCTGTATTACTTGTACCCTTACACCGCTTTGTTTTGTTTTGTTTTTTCTCTTTTTCCTTTTAAATAAAATTAAAAAAAATAAAGTCAATTGAGGAAGGATGACATAAACTATTAAATTATGTCACATATGTGAAATATTAATATTGATTTCTCAGCAAATATTAAATACTCAATTAATGGCACCATGTATTTGTTAGTAGTGATACTAAGTAATTTGATTACCTTAAAATGTGCTCATTGGTTTTGTTTTTGGTTTGTCTGTTCATTTGTTTGATTGTTTGTATCTCTTTCATTGTTGAGAGACCTACTGCACAGCAAACTGGCCCAATCACCACAATAAAGGCGGCCCATTGGACCTGCGTTGCTCATTGGAAGTCTAAATGGCCCAAACTTAACGGACAGTTCTTTGAATGTGTTTCTGCAATCGTTTTAAGGGAAAAGGGAGCAATACAAGAATTCTGAAGTTCTATTTGGTCGTCTGTCCTAGTGAAGGACCAGATTTCCCTGTTATCCGGGGAAATTGCAGTTCTGTCCCTTCTATTTTGCAGTCTTTAATGGATTGTTCATTTAATTATCTCCCTCCTTATCAAGGAGGGATGTTGAAATGGAAGTCATCCTTTCAGAGCTGATTTTCCGTATTTGGGTGGAAAACAGACCTTTCGGTTTTCTCTATGTACCAGCTCATCCCCTCCAGTAGGTGCCGGGACACTAAAGCCCCTGATGGGAAGGCTTGTTTCCATACTAGTGATCTGTATTTCTTCTTCTTGCTTCAGTGCATGTATCTAATTAGTGTACAACCCAACTCTAGCTGTTTCAAAGTAGAATACATCTTGTAATGAGCTCTATTATTTTTCCCACACAAAATTTAATAGCCCGGTAAATTTAACACCAAACCAAAAAAAAACAAAAAAACAAAAAAACAAAAACAAAAAACAAAAAACAAAACTATTTATAAGACAGATCAACATATGTTTATAATTCAGTTGCTTTTATTCCCTATATTGACTTTTTTCCTCTAAATTCTATCATATAGTCTATTTATTATCAGTCAGAATAAGAACCCATTGCTTACTTGCGGAGGCACAAATCTAAATATTCTACAACAGCACATAGCTTCATGCTTGTGAGCTGAAACTCCCTTGTGAGCTACTGAATGAAAGCTCACAGTCCTCCATAAATACCCATAGTAACCTCTTCAGAGCATGCAAATCAAGTTACTCAGTGAAGTAGATAAGTGAATCATTAAATAACATATTAGATGGTTTCTTACCATTTTTAGGCATTAACAGTACAGCAGTATGGCATGAATAAAAGCTTGGTGACATCCCACATAAAATATTTTAAGTTACAGTAGAGTTATTTAACGTGAATATAACATTCTTACTTTAGAAATAGCTAAGGTTTTGTTTTTATAATATAAGAACTAAGATTATATGGCTTAGGTAATTCTGAGTTTGTGGTTGTGTAAAATGAATTATATTTGTGAATATTTAATTTTTATAACTTTGATGTATAACAGGCACTTATGTATTTATGGCTGTTCTTTAAATTTTAATATGGCTCAACTGCAAAAACAACTATGGTCCATTTACTGTAAGGGCCTTTAATCAGAGTTATGGTAAACATGCAGAACCATTAATCCTAAAATCAGAGGCAGAGTTCATTTTACAAATGGAATGGCCCAAGGGACCATGACCTTACAGTCAGGCTACTGTGTATCAGGGTACAACAAATATACAAGTTCAGTTTTGATCCCAGTGAAGTATTGTGCATGATTTGCATTTGCATTAGTTGCTTATTATATATATATATATATATATATATATATATATATATATAAATTAGTTCCCCAGAAAAGAAACAAATTGTCATATACAGAAAGATACTGAAGTATTCTCAAAGAAGCATCATCTGGATAGTAAATTAATTTCAAATTAAAATGAAATTCATCAATTAAGGGAAAAAATTGATGAAGTTACAACTCCGTGAAGAAGCAAAGTGAAAAATAATATCAGGAGGTAATAAACTGCTTAACTTTTTTTCTTTCTGTTAACTTAAACTTTACTTGTTTAGGAGAATTGGGACAGAGTAGAAGTAGAGGAAGATAGAAGTCCTAGGACCTGGGTTTGACCTCAACTTTGTCTCTAATATAGCCTAGAGTAGTGCACAGTGATATATCTTTTCTCAAGTTCTTGGTTTTCTCATTAATAAAATGGGGTTGAGATTCGCTCTGTGTACTTTACAAGAATATGGTCAATGATACTCCTTTTCTGTCTTTAAGATACAATAAGGATGTAGCTCAGAGGTAAAAGGTTTATCCAGCATGTGCAAGACCCTGGGCTCAGTGCCCAGCGCAACATAGCAATAACAATCACAACAGCAACAGTGACAGTGCTAAAGACAACACGATAAATTTCCACTTCTGCTGTTTCCCTGCAGAGCCTTGTTCTCTGTCTCTCTGTTCTGTCAGTGCTCCTACAAGCCCTCTCACATAGCATGGGATTTGTCTTGGGTCTGAATTCTTTGAAGTACAAATGTCATCAGTTGTTTTTTGACTAAATCTAGCTGTGAATAAATAGTGCAGGTGGAGTCACGGCAGATGAAGAAGGGGCTAGTATCTGCCATTTAGGTCTGTGATGTATTGTCAACCGACTGAAAACAGAAGTTATGTAGACCCGGGAACTCAGTGTCCTCATTCAGATTGTGGAAAATCTTCTTGCCTTATGAATAGGTGAGTATTTTTGTTACTGTTATTTCACCATTGCTTTGGTGATTGTTGTTCGATGCCTGCTATTCTGGAGCCTTGCATTCATTCCATTTAGACACTAATAGGTCTATTTAAGTGGCTTTTAATATTTCAGCTTTAGAGAGAAAACAGATTTAGAAATGCGATTGTCTTGTCCAAAGTAGATAACTGAGCTTCATACGTTAAGGTCCCCCTGATTCTAAAGCTTATGCTATCCATTGAGTAAATAGTTAAAAGAAAGACCACAAAGTATTATAGGCTCAATATAATTAGACACTGGACTACAGGAACAGAAAGATGAAGGTTTAGAAAGTTATTTCATCTTAGTATAATTTGCCAGATAAAGTAAATGTTGCTATTATTACTTACAAATGATATGCTGTTTTTTGATCACCATAGCCATAATGATACAATATTTAGCAAAGAAAAATCTACATAACGTTTGAGTCATGTTCCAAGTAATTTGTTATCATGGTATGACTCTACAAAGGCAAGAAGCAATTCTTTTCTTTTAATCATCACTTTTGATTATTGTATCTTGATGGCCTCATATCCCTAGCCATTATACCCAGATATTTCTTCTTGTTAATGGTACTTCATGAGAAGAGCATCCCTTGTTAAACTAGTAGTGTATGACTCTCTTTACTTGGATAAGTTAAAATTCTGAAGCATGTAGATTGAACCTCATTTAAGGACCTAGAGACAATGCTTGCAAAAGTACAAAGTTCATACCAAAGCTGTCTCCTAATGTCACCTTCAGATGCAGTACACTGTGTGGGACATTTCTGGCTGGAGACAGTTTTGAGCACAGCATACTTCTCTAATGGCCTTTTAGAATTAAAGCAGACTATAATAACTCACTTCCCCTCAAGTAACTTATATTCAGACTTCCCACCAGAAACCTCAGCACGAAGGTCAGCATCCTTCCCTTTGCCCTTCCTCCACATGTCCTGTGTGGTCTCTCCCGAGGCCACTTGGGGTGGGAAAATTCAATTCCTTCCTTTGTGCTTTTTTTTTTTTTTCTGTCATTATCAAATGTGGAAAAGCAAGTGAAATGCTGAAGGCCTAAGTATGTCAGTCTGTAATTTTGGAAACATTTGATTTTGGGTTCAGTGTTGCACAATAGATGAAATGTCTAGATGTGACTGTCCCCAAAGAACAGCCTCACAGATCTATCAAATTGTACTGTGGCAAAGAGTGAGACTGATAGGACCCAAGTGGTCAGTTTGAGTCCACCAGGTACCAGCTTTGTATTTTCCATTCTGCGATCCAAGACAAACTATTTTCTCTAGTTTTCAGATATTAAAGTGCATAATTGTCAGATTAGAAAACTTTTCATAAGATTGTGAGCTGTCACTGAAGTCATAAGGTTCAGCTTTACACAGAGCAAACATATAGCTCATGGCTATGCTAAAGAATAAGTCTATATGGTGGCAACTTTAATTTTTATTTCTATTTTTTTCAATAATGCATTTTACTTTTCTGATCTTTCTGTCCATCTTAATATTTTGAAATGTAACCTTGGTAACACCCATAGTGGAAAAGAGCCAGGGTAATGACATCAAGTTGGCCACAGTATTCCCTCTTTGTGGTTCATATTAACTCTTGAAAAGTTTTTCTCCATAGAGAGCATTAAAACTGTCACTGACAAAATTCCAAGCTGTTTATCTAAAAAAAAAACAGTAAAAACAGACGTATTGACACAAAAAGTTCTGTCAATACTTCCTAGTGCTAGAAGATTACTAATGCATATTTAAATTTAACATAGTTGCGGTAAGTCTTATAGTTAAGAAATATGCTTAAATTAGCAATCTTCTTTGTAACTTTTTGTTTTGTTTTGAGTAACGTCTACAGACGTCTACAGAGATATTTTGGAATTAGTGTGCCATGAAAGATTCTGCAATGTATTACATTAGAATTTTGTTTAGAAATACCTGGAAGTATAGGAGAGCAGTGATGTCCATTTCTAATGCTAGTTGGGATGAGGAAAATGTAGCATCCCGTCCTGAAAATGGTCAACCATTCTCAGTAGACTTAACTTTTTATTCTTTTGTGAACTAAACAGACAGAAGCCTTGACTTTTGTTTCATCTTTGACACATGTAAACATTGGGGAACTGGGGAAAATCATTGATTCCTTTAGACTGAGTTGTCCTAAATGCTAAATTAAATATGGTGACAATTGAAAAAATATGCTTAAAATATTAGCTTGTAAATCTCATCAAACGGGGCTGGGGATTTAGCTCAGCGGCATAAACGCCTGCCTTGCAAGCTCATGGTCGGGAATTCGATCCCCGGTACCGATAAAGGAAAAAAAAAATGTATGTAAATCTCATCAAACAATGAAAGAATTATGCTGAAAAGAATTCCTATATTTATACTGTAATGATGCTGATCATCATGTTCCTATTTATCCCTTGAAGACTATTCTAACATGAAAGGCAATGAATTAATCTATTAACCTTCCTCAGTTGCTGTGGTCAATATGTGGTTTGTTGTCATCAAAACTCTTGAGATTTGGTTGTGCATGTGGTGGAACTGAGAGGCTGTGGCATCTTTAAAGGTGGTGCAGTCACGGGGACTCCACCTGCATCATGCAGTTATCTCATTCAGTCAGCAGCCAATGAGCTACCCTGAGCAGAGGCCGTGCTAAAGCAAGTCTGGCACCATCCTTGGGCTCCCAAACACAAGGGCTATATGTATGTGCTCACTTTTCTTCTAGCTTCTGCTGTACGTTGATCAGTCCAAGGCCATCACCAAAATCCACGCAATGCTAGTACCATGCATGTTCTCAGACTTTGAGAACTGTGCACCAAAATGGATGCATTGTCTTTATATGTCTTTATCCTCAAGTATTCACTGTATCAACAAAAGTCAAATTGTTACACTAGGGATCTCAAAATCCATCTTTACAGCATTACCAAACACACATGCTTCTCACCCCTTTATTAAACAAATTGGCTATTGTGGTTTTGCAGATTTGTCCAAAAATATTCATTTACTTTAGGAGTATACTGAGCTGCAAGAAACCAAAGGCAGGCCTTCCTTTGGGATTTTCTGGATGTAAAATCATTCCAGATTAGCTGGAAATTTTCACAGCTGGGTCTAGTGACACACCTGCCACACTGCATTTGCAAACTAACTGGACCCTGACAAGCATGGAAACATGCAGGGACATTGGTGGCAGTGAATTTATTTTCCTCTAGCTATGTAACAACCCCTCTCTAGATGCTCTAGATAATTATATAATCTATATAATATTTCTTTGAAGAAAAGTATTAATCAAGCATAACAGAGTTATCTCTGAAATGTTTCTTTTCCCCAGCAACTTTTGATAATATGTATATTAAATATGTATTATTAAACATTATATATATATATATATATATATATTTTTTTTTTTAATAATTCAAGTGTCTTTTTCCTCTTTCCTTCCCTAGGATGCACCCATTTCTTATTTTGCATTCTGACTGTTGGGAACATTATACTTTATACATTTACTCAACTTAGGGTTTTTATTAAGAAAAGTCCAAGCAGGAGAATTTGTTGCATAAATGAAATAAATATGTCCAAAGACCCCATTGCTCTGGAAGGGTCACTGAAGGCCACAGCTGTGAGTTCATTCATGCTTTAGTAATTGAAGGGAGGACAGCAGACTCCCTTCACTGGTTTTGTTTTGTTGTTTTGTTTTATGCTGTAGTTCACAGGTTTCACTGATTTTTCACGACTCATGTGCATGACAGTTATAGTATGGCTCATTAAATCCAGGACACCACAGGTGTGGTGGATGGCACAACTCTGAGTGCCAAGAGCTCTAGCTGGCCTGTCCTGCTGATTTGGTGGGTGGCCTCAGACACATTGCTGCAATTCATTCTGCTTCTCTTTTTTTATTATTTACTTTTAATATAGAATAAAATGAAAATAATCTGGTAATTGGGAAACAAGTTATTGTGTATAGTCTATCTGGAGTAAAACACTGTCATTAAATTATGATGATAACAATTATATAAGTACTTAAGCTAAATTTTTGTAAGATACAAAATTAAACATAGAAAATAGTTATAAATTACAGGAAAGAAGTGGAGCAAAAGACAAATTTGCTAAGTGTTTCCCAGGGATTGATAAAGCACTCTTTATGTATTTTTCCTGTTTCCTATAATATCTTCATTCAGTTAGAAAGTATGCATTGAACATTCACTATGTGCCATCCACTACTCTGAGAATGGGAGGAAAAAGTCAATAAAACACGAATCCCTAATGGGGCGTGGTGATGCATGCTTATAATCCCAGCTCTCTTAAGAGAGAGGCTAAGGCAGGAAGATCACAAATTTTAGCTAAGCTGAGCAACTCAGAGACTTAGATGCTGTGTCAAAATTTTAAAAAAACATGGAGCTCACTGGGAGGGAATTGGGTTCAATCCCAGTCCCAAAACAACAAAAATCACACATGAATCATATTCTCCTGGAATTTACATTTTAGTGGATGCAGAAAATTAAAGTGATGAAACACCCTATCAGATGATTAGCTCTCAGCAAAATTTTAAGCTAAAAAAGACTGTTAAAGAGACAAGTTCTGCTTCTCTTATTCCACATTTAACAAATGGAAGACACCTACCACTCATCTGCTTCTTGAAGCATTTTCAAAGACAAAAGACCAAACACTGAGTCCACTTCTAGCGAACCATTAGAAAACGGTTTGGATGTTCAGTATCCCGCTGCTAGCCTTCTACCAGCCACTTGTTAATAACAGAAGAAAGTCCCTATCTATCTATCTATCTATCCTTCTATCTATCAATCTATCATCTATCTATCTATCTATCTATCTATCTATCTCTCCAGGCAAAATCAAACTGACTGAGACTAAGACCCGTTCGCTTATTTTAACAGATGTTTTTCATTACCTGGCAAGCAATATGCGCATTTCTGGGGCTACAAATATGGATATGACATCGATGTAACCATAGACAGCTGCGTGGTCAGTGAAGAAGCCAGCTTGTAAACAGATGGCAATAGTACAGGGAAGTAAAGGACTCGGGGGGGAAAAAGTGCCCTGGAGGATGGGTGAACAGTGAATGACCTTATCCAGGGAGGTGACACAAGCCAGAGATAAACCACCGCAGAAGGAGCAGTCACACTGGGAAAGGGCAAACAGGTGGAAGGCATCATTTATGCAGATACTTGGCCTGTTCAGTGAAGAACAAAATGATGAAAAGAAATGATAGTGGGAAATGAATTAGTTCTAATATTGGCAAAGAATAGTTCTTAGAATTCTGTCTCATTAGAGCCAATTACTTGAGGATATTATAACAATGTTTAAATCTTTAGATTTGCATCTGGGATTTCACTTAAAATACAATGTTACCTAAAGCTTGAATATGACTCTGCTGCTTTCAGCCTGCCCTTGGCTCTCCCTCAAACTTAGAATAAAATGCAAAATATTTGCATGACTGGCACCACCCTTATTTTTTCTCAATTGCTGTCCTGCTCCCTTGTTGTGCCACCAGTCACTCCAATTTTCTTGGCTTTCTTTGTTTTTTCTGTAGCCTCTGCTTGGAACACACGTCCTCCATCTTTGTATGTCTCATTCTCTTGTGGCATCATTCAAGTTTGGCTCCAATTTCACCTCCTAGAGAAGTTTTTACTCATGTTCTCTCCAAGGGCATCTTCCATCATTCTTATCTCTTTATATGGTTTGAATTGTTTTTGGAGCATTTATCACTGTGGGATTCCACAGCATGTCGTTTCATTTTATGGCTTAACTTCTAATTTCTTGAGTGCATCAAATTATGCCCCATTTCCCACAACAAGATATGTCTATCTCCTAAATCTGTGAGACTTATAAATATGATCCTATTGGAAAAGTGGTCTTTGCAATTAAGATAAAGATCTTAGGATGGAATCATTACGGATTTAGGGTGGGTTCTAAATCCAGTGACAAGAAAATACAAGATAGAGTTCCTCCCTCTCTTACTCAATGCTAATCATGATGGCACTAACAGTAACATTTTCACCTTGCAAAATTTGCTTTGATTTTTGCTTATGTAACGCTGTCTTAACAACTGTATGGATGCTGATTAACTATGATGCTATTTTAGAGCTTAGTAAATCAAAACTCAAAGACCTTAGTGGCGTGGCATGACATCATGGAGCCACTAAGGTGCCTCAATAAGCAGCATAGACTATCTTGGTTGAACTGCTGAGACCTTGTTTGTCTATGCTTCAAATAGTGGCATTAGCCATAGGGGAAAGCCTCAATCAAGGCTATAAAACATGCAAATTTTACAATGGGTATTTTTATATACATTACCTTATTCAACCCTCTCACTCTCAACTTTCAGTCATTTACACAATGGAAATTAACACAAAGCTGTAGAAATTTGGGCTGAAATTTAATTTCTGCTATGGTTGACTTCAATTGCCCTGATCTTTCTGGAATTAGTAACATTCACACTATGCATTCCTGGGTAATCACAATAAGCTATTCCAACTCCTTTGTGCCCCAAATTGATGTCTGAGATGCTATTTGCTGGAATTTTCCCAGTGTACCAACTATACTGCAGTCAACATTGCTGTCTCAACAAAACTTCCATATATCCCCTTTCATATATTCCTTTTATCCAGTGCTTGTCCTTGCAACTTTTTTCCCTCCTTCTCTTCAAGAAAGTCAAGTAGTATGTGAAGTAATAAATTCTAAAACACCCTTGGGTGTTTCGGTGGTTTTTCACCATTCTTCTTTAATTTAGTAGGAGCTTTATTTTGCTGGGTTTTACTCCCTCCTCCTGTTTATTTTCTGAATCTCCTTCATAGCTTTGTGATCCCCAGGAGGTCTGGGATAGTGCTTCTCAGCAAGGTAAGCTACTGGAAAGAAAGGTCAGCCTTCCAAGAGAGGCCTAGAAATGGAGGTATTAAAAAATTGCTTTGCTATGACAAGGACAGATAACACTGTATTCCCCACATCCGCCTTAACCTATACCTTGCTTTAAAAATTAAAGTATTTTCAGTCCTGGAGATTTCAGACTCTGTGATTGTTGATTGTATCAGCTCAAGGTATGGGCAAAAAGTATTCCTTACCTAGGGATTTATTATGCCTTGTTATAACAGGAAAAAATAGCAAAATGCTCTTTGCATTCTGTATTTATTCTGTCTTCGGATGATTAATTTTTAGATGCTTAAAATGTTCCTGTAATATAAACTGGGTAAACATCAATCAACTTACCTTTTTTTTATTTTTTTTTTTGCAAAATATCCATTACCTGTTATATCCAGTAGCATATTTACTGATTAATAAATGAATAGTCTCACTACAAAATCTTCAGTCAAAGAACTTGCCACTAAATACTAAGTTCATACCTTTATTTTATTTAAATGTATGGAATTTGGAAAACCAAGTATTAAATTGATTTTTCTAAACAGTATTTATTTATAGGACTTTATTTTAGAATTTACACATTTATCAGCTATTAAACAAACAAAGCTTTACAAATACTTTCTTGTACTTTTCTCAGTCTTCTCAATAACCGGAACGAGTAAGTAGAACTGAATAGGATTGTGTAAGCTTTACATTAGAGGAAAGAGTCGTAATTGGGAAAATAATTTCAGTATCTTTGTGTTTGATTCTGTCCGAGGTAAATATCTGTTAAATGGCATTCTTTCTTCCAATCCAGCATTTATTTACCTTTTCCCATTTTGCTTTACTAATCTCTGTTCTTTTAACTGTACTTAGCAAGGAAGAAAATAAAAATTCTAACCCAGTGAAAGGAAGGTAAGTCCTTAACAGTAAGGCTGGATATTTTATATATGCTGTTTAATCCCCATAAAAGTCTGGCGTTCCCTTTCCAAAAGAAAAGAAATTGAGAATTCTGAAAGCTTCACATTTAGCAGGTTTTGGCAGAGTTGCATCCTTTCCATTGGAAGGAGAACAATTAATTTTTTATCAGCTGTCAAAGAAGTTTAGTCTTTCTGTAATGGTTCACAACTCTAAGATGTATTGGACTGTTACTTTTCTATGAACTGTAGCCAGCTTCAAAGATCATTCAATAATTCAGTAGGGACGGTCCTCAGTATCACAGTGGCAAGAAGATATAAGCTGTCTATGGGGTTTGTACAGGTAGAAACTACAATTATTCAATATGAGAAAATATGTCATTGAAAACTAGAAGAACTGATGATTTCCAATTAGATATCTGCCATCAGCTTGATTATTTACAATTTACTGTTACTCTTGAAAACTTAAAATGTGCTTATGTTTTGCAAATATAATCACATCCTTGTAAGAAAACTGTTGGAATATGAAGTGAAGTGAAAATGTACTTTTCATGTTTGCATATGAATTAAAGATTTATAACCTTAATTTATATTTTATTTTTATTATTATTATTTGGGAAGAGTTTGAGACAGGGTCTCACTGTACAGTTCAGGTTGGCTTTGAACTCATTATGTAGCCCAGGTTAGCCTCAAACTCTCAGGAGTCCTGATGCCTCAACTTCCCAAATGCTGGGATTACAGGCATGCACTGCCGTACCTGGCCTAAAGCTTAAGCTTTATCAGCACCAGCTCATTATCTATCTGCTTATTTCATTCTCTGCACATATATCTGTAAAATATCACTTATGGCTTGTGTCTGGTTTTTATTTCTCTTTTCTTTACATCTTTGAGAATGCAATTGTGTTGCAAAAGTATCAATATGCAGTGGTAGCCATGAGTGACTCTCTAAAACATTTTAAATTTTGGTGATGCATTTGGGTGTGGAAGGGGGAAAAGAGGGAATCTTTAAGACCACATGTGACACTTTGTGGTTCCTGCCTTTAGCCAGTTCAGAAAGATTGAGAGATGTACTTTCTTTAATTATTTTAAAAATTTATATTTACGGTGTACTTCTGAAATATTTCTATCAAAAATTCTAATAGTAGTTTCCCAAGAATTTTGTTTTATGCCAAAGTCAGCCTATCATGTAAGTAATAATATGCAGTTTTACTTTTACATTGGAATTTATAAGAGGACAATTCTGGGATCACGGTTGGAAATAAATCTGGCCAGATGGATTTTCCTATAATTTGAAGACCATGCATTATAAATGGTGGAAGAACCTCTGAAGTCATCTAGCTGGTCTCCTAGATTCAACAGATGAACAGAAAACACCATGAGAAATGCTGCCTATGTGTTAAAATTCCATCCAGAATCTTGATGACGTGAAGACCATTTCCTGTGGGCCTTCTCCCCAGGAAGCCCTGCTCCCCTTTATTCAAATTCAAGATCTGCTTACTACCTATGCAAGTCACTGGCTTCAGGGGTCCATTGCCTCATAAATAGTATGAAAGTAATCATAATATAAATTGTTTTACTTTTGTGAGAATGAAAATGAGTTACTACATGCCTGGTAAGCATCGACTAATTATGGATACTTCTGTGCTTGCCAATAGTACCTAATATTGGAAGAATTGTATGTTGAATACCTCGGTTCTTACTGGGAGTGATTTTGCTTTGAGAGGATATTTGGTTATGTCTAGTGACATTTTTTTTGTTGTCACATCTTCAGATTAGCAGATTATTCCTGGATGGGGTGCTGATAGATGTGGTATCATGAGCAAGCCTACTAACTACCAAGACTACCAAGACCCAAATGTACAAAGTACACATTTAAGGCACCCTGCTTGGGTTGAAAAAAAATGATAGTTTGAATCTAGGGTATGAAGTAAACCTAACTTTAGAAATAAAAACAAGGATACATAAATAATACCTGTGTTGACTACAAGCAAGTGTGGACTCCTAGAAGTTAGAGCCTGTGTATTATGTTGCTTCTCTCATCTTCCTTCCCCAGCTCATCTCCAGCACTGCTACTGTGATGTCAGCAATTTTAATCGTCCCATTTCTTTTTAAAGCAAAAGTTTATATGATGTTATACATTAGTATTTTGTATATTAAATGTTTAATGGATTACAAAGAAAATTGCTACTTGAATTTTCTTTTTTTTAATTCGTGGTCAGTAGAATGAGAAATACCATGGTCAGGAATCTTTGTAGTTAACAGTATGGTTTCATAAATATCAAAATAGAGAGAAGGCTTTGCTTCCAGCTTTTCCAAGCATTTATTTCAGTTATATATTTGAAGTGATCAGCCCACCTCAGAATGCTTTTTCTTTTTCTTTTGTGTGGATGCAAGGAATAATTGTGAATTGAATATAATCCATATGTTTGTTATTTTCAAAATGAAGCAAACTCAAAATATTAGAAACATTATATGTGGGATAATTTTGAAGATTATACCACTTGTACAAAGCAGTACTCTGCATATATTGCATTTTGTAGAGTTACATGATCCGTTTAAAATTATGGATACCAAGGAGGATAGAGTGGCTGGTAACTCAACCAGAGAAATAATCCTTCCATTGATGTTATATTTAATTGAGAGCAATATTTTTACATAGTTAATTCTTTAAATACCAATTTTAACAGAGAACTATGTGAAAAAGTAAACAACCTTAAAAAGTATACTACACATTAAGAAAAGAGTGGTAGGCCTGCATCTTGTACATGCAGTCACAGAGCACATTCCTACTGTTTTGATCAATAATGGCCAGCGTGTTTGATCCCGCAAGACTATAATGAACCTGAAAAATTCTTGTCACATTCAAAATGCAGTAGAATTGCACATTATTCATGACTTTATGCTGGCACAAACAAACCTACTTTGCTGCCGGTGGTATAAAAGTCAAGCACATATGATTATGTACAGTGTCTAAGACTTCATAATTACAATAGATGACGTTTGGGGGTATATATGTATATACTTAATCACTTTTTGAAGGTACTGTTTTTGCTTGTTAAAAAAGCTTAATCTAAAACAATGCTTTGTATTATGCTGTCAGTGGTCTCTTCTAGAGTTTGCTGTTCACACAGTAGAATAGCCCAAGAGCACATTCTTCACTTTCTCATCATTATGTAGCATTCTCATCAGTGTGTAACAAAAGACTATAGATTGAATCTGTAAGTACATGGATATAAATGTCTACATTTTGATGGCTGTAATGTTAACCTAATGTATCTCAAGATGTTTCCTTCCTTTGTATTTTGCAATAGTCAGCTATTGTTGCATCAGTGCTGTGCAATACAGTGTCCTCAAACTCAGTGGCCTCAAAACAGAAAGAGTTCATCCTCAGGTTCACCTGAGTGCAGGTGATTGTGGTTCAGTTGATCTAGAATGGGGTTGCATTCAGTGATCAGCTGAATACAGAGTGGTCCCACCTGTTTTGTCCTACTGTTGAATCTCAGGGAGCATAAATATAATCAATCACACAATGGAGCGCCAGAGTATGAAAGCCAAACCAAACCTGGCAAAAACACCTAGGGACCCTTTTCCTTTTATACTCACCAATATGCTATTGGCAAAAGCATTCATGGGACACATTTAGTATCAATGAGGTGAGAAAATATGGTTTTTTTCTGTGGTGGAGAGGAAGGGGAATTGCTGTGAAAATGTGCTACATAATAATTTCAACTTTACACCTTCCCCTCATTTCAGATAAATGTATTTTTTCCTTCCTGGACTTAGCTCGTCTCTCCATTTCTGTCTCTATAGAATTGAGGCTCATTAATAGAGTCGACCCAGACCTGTCAGCCCCATTTAGCTTGGCATTCCATGGACTACATCTATGTTTTACCCACACTTGTAATGGTATGTTAATGTATGTATGGGTGTGGCTAATTTTTTTCAGACAATAATTTAATTATAGACCTAGAAATCCCACAGCATAAATAGTTTATCAGGGAAGGAAAATATAAAAATGGATTAAGCCTTCAGATTTGGTACCAGAGTATAATTATGAGATAGCATCCAGTTAGGAGATGCACTTATATTTTAAGAAAAAAGAATTTGGATTGTTTCATGTCTTTTCCTAGTGAGTATACACAAGCAAATTAGAGAAGAAAAGCAATATACTCGGTCTCTAGGATCAAGGCATGTCTATTTATACTTTTCCTGTTCTGCACGATTGCATCTATATTTTTCCTGATTTATTTCCTTAGATTTACAAGGACTGGAGTTCACTGCCCACTGTGAACTTGGCTTTCATTTGACACACCCTCTACCTTCAATATAAAATCATATAACCCCAGTAGAACAGCTGTGTTATGCATCGTTCTGTGGGTAGACCCTAAACACCCATCAAACTTGTATGATAAACATGGGTAAACTGTGAAAATTATGCGATAGAGTGTCTAAGATTATGTTATACATGATAAATGACTGGAATACAGAGTGTCTGGGTTAATCTAATGTAATCCTGTGGTTCTTTGAATCTATTGAACCTTCTGACCCTGGTGGCAGAATAGACAAGAGAGATTTGAAGCAGGAAAACTGTTTTCTGGGCTTGATGGTTTGATATTGAAGGAGTCCTTGAAATAGGGGGTCAGAGCAGTCTCTAGTTGAAGAGAGAAAAGACCACTGTAGAAGTTATTAAAGAAAGAAGACTTCAGGCTACCATCACAAGGAACCAGTGCCAACAACCTGAATGAGCTTAGCAAGTGGAGAAGGTCTCAGAACTTCCAGTTAGGAGCCCAGCTGACCACACTTGGATGTCAGCTTTGTGAAAGCCTCAGCTGAGAACACCCACCCCAAGTAGGTCTAGACTCCCACCCTACATAATGGTGAGGTAATCAGTAAATATTGTTTCAAATTGATGAAGTTTTTGTGATTTATCATTCAGCAATATAAAATGAATATATTGTCTTAAAAGGGGTGTTCACGAATGGAGGGTTGTTTGCACTTCTCACAGGCCAACTCTAGGTGAGCAGATTCCTCTTTGTGAAGACTGACATTATTTCTGACAAATCCAATTGCATAAACTTTGTTAGGTCCCTAGTTTTGAATGAGTCTTGGAATTTCCATAGGCCATTCAATGTCACTTTTCTATGGAAGGTTTAGGTTTTATAGGATCCTGAGATTATACAGTTTCAGAACTTCTTTTGAGAAAATAAATACATAATTAAAATACGGATAATTCTAGATTTCAATGATTTGACTTATGATTCTTTAACAAGGTCTCTTAGATTTCAAGAAACAGTTTGAATGTCTTTGTCATGAAAATTCTATTTTCTATCCATATTCTTTGAGGACTGGGGACTACCTGTGATGTTTATATCACCTTCGGGTCATCCTTGAGTTGTGATACCAGGTAAGTTCATGTAATGTGTGCTGGTCACAGCTGCAGAGACCATTCCTACCCTACGACAGACATCTATTACTTGACTGTACATAGCAAGTAATTACGAATGTCATAAACAAACCTAAATTTTCTCTTAGTTGGATTCTAGAAAAGCTCACCATTGCCTTTAAGTCTGAGGGTTGTGCTATAGAATAATTACAAAGCGCCAATGTTAACTAATTGTAGCCAAGCTACTTTATTTTCTAAATATAGAAAATAGTATGACTGTAAACATATCCCTAAAATATGTTTGTAGAGAGATGTTCAACTATGTGAGGGAGAGACAGATGTCTGCTATGTTAGCTATGTTGTAACCTAAAAAAAACAGCATCGTGTAGCCTCAAAGAGAAAACTGAAAAGACTTCTTTACTAACCAGAACCTTTGTACACTTTCCACCAAATAGATACCAGAGCTTTTTCCCCCATCATGTTTTCCTTCAACTGCTCCCTACTGAGGAAGCAACCTCCTCATACATCCTCAAGATTGGATGATCCATAGCCTATGAGATTTGATGTTCAACCGTCTACACTGCTCACAATTTTAGTGATGACTCAGTGTTGGAAATCATTACTTAAATGCTGTGTACCTGTAAGGTTGTCTATTTCTGTTAGTAACTGTCATACAGCACTGTTTGGCTTTTTAAAATTAAATGTAAGGCTTCTTTTCTTAATTATTTGACCATGTGCCTCTTGTGTAACAGGAAGATAAATTGTCTTGTGATGTCATGTGCCCTCGGTTTTGTACAAAAATATATTTGAGGAGGCCACATGGTTTAGTAGGAAGAACATTTAGATTTTTAAATCTGAAGACCTACTTAAGTTTAAGGCCCAGTGTCTCTCCTATAATAATGTTTGGAAACTGCATAATTCGATTTTATTATGTGTAAATGGACACAGTAAGTGACAGGGCTCCTGTAGAAGGGTATGAAAAGGTGTTTGGTACAGAAGCTGAAATGGAACAGGTCCTCGGTGAGTACAGCTCCATGTGAACTTGGTTAGCTAGTTGTCTTCCTATGTTTGTAAAGTCAGATGCTAATCTATAAACAAAGTCACTAAGTATTCTGGCTAATTAAAATTTTCCTTTGTTTATAATATCAAGGAATTTTTTATGAAGAACTTGAAAAAATTCATGAATTGCAAATTGACTTTTGCTTTATTTTTTTTATCACTGCTGCCCTCCCATCCTCCCTCTGTCTGGACTCGCTGTCCTTTCCTGTAACTTGGGAGCAACTCACTCCTAGACACCTTGGTCCTAAGGTTTGGGAGGAGAAGACATACTTGCTTGTTGGCATAGAAGCATTACCCATAGTGACACGGGAACAAGGCACTTATAGTTATGGTTGTGTACAAGTGTGACACTCATGGTGCTCAGAAACCCCCGGCTGATCCGAACAGAGACAAAGTGCACAACTGTAATGGCACTTACAGGGCAGGCAGGGAAAGTTCCGTTGATTCATCTCACATAATGATGCAGTTTTATTTGTACCTGTGATCTTCTTTATCATGGGTTCTGTCTCATTGCAATAGTAAGTCTGCCTTAGTGGGTGGTTTTTACTATGCTAATGAACTAAATGTCACTGTAGATAAGATTAATGGCAATTTTATACATATGTTTGTCCCTTAGTATCTAAAATGCATTCCTTATCATCTGGAAAGTTTCCTTTTGGAGTGGGAAGATTACTCCTTTACATTAACAGATTTGATTTTAATACCTTGTTTTCTTTGGCTTCTTGGAATCTCTGCTGACCACACAGTCCTTGTAGGCCGAGCTGACTGCCCATCCTACCATCTTCTGGTGTATTCTCTGAATTTTATAGCCTCGATGACTAAGCTACTTTTAAAATCCCAGTTCCCTGGTAAGTATGCTACCCCATAGGTGTAATAGCCAATTAGATTGTCTCAAAAACTGGAAATTAGAAAACATGGAAGTTCAAAAGATGCTTTCATACATTGGATGAGTTTTGAGAGACATTTGTTTTATAATTTATGTGATAGTTTTGTGATAATAGTAGTATGTTTTGATTCTTATTGCTTTCACACAGGGGATACACAAGTGGTATACAACCTGAGTGAGACTGATGAGACTCAAATGCTGGAACCTAAGTCTTAGTAAACAGTATATTTCAGAAAATAATTATGTTTCAGAAAATACATTTCAGAAAATGAGTTAGGGCTAAACTGGGAAGTAACAGTGTCTGTGTCCCAGTTGTCTTAGCAGTACTTTACAGGAAAGATTGGCAAAAAATTATAGAAAAACATGATCATCATAAACTATCTAGTAGAAATTGTTTAGCAGCCTCTGGGAAATGGGAGCTCTTGCTGGAGATTGTACAACTCGGGTCTTGGTTGGCGCTTTTCTCTGTGTAGTGAGTCAGGCCTTTCTCGTTTTCATGGTTCATTTGAACTATACTTTAGAAACTCCTTATTTTCCTTTATCAAGAATGAAGCTTTCTGTGAGCCTGTGGATTGAGACAGGAAGAACTCTTTAGAGCCAAGAATATTCAAATTATTTAACAATACATTCATGAGATTTGTGAAAATTACTAAATTAGTTTTTGGCTCTTCAAACCAATCTAGTGAATGAAGCCTGGTCAGCCTGAGTGCTCCTTGAGAGCAAAACCTAATTTTATTCTTTAAACAGCAGCTGCTTCTGAACTGAGGACTCGATTGGAATAAGGGCTTCCTAAATTTGAGTGAAATGAACTGAAATGAAAGGAGGACACTGGAAAAGAGTCACAGAGAACAGAGTGCATAGGACTGAAGAGCACAGAATAGGTGAAATCAAATGGGATGAGTGGAGTAGGACAGAATTAGTAATGGGCTGAAGTGGAGAGAAATGACAGCATAGGGTGGGGAAGAGTTCTGACTTTGATCTGCTGTGATGTTTGATTCTGACTGAGGATTCTTCACAAACCTCTACCTGTCACTGTTGTCTTGCCTGTAGCATCATTCCCGGGGCCCTTGCACTATCGATGAGCTGTCACACTGGGAGGTGCTCAGCGGTCTTGCGTTGTTTTGGGTCGTTCCCTGTCAGTGGCTTTGGTTCTGGAAGATGTGCCCTACAAACAGCCCTTCAGACTGAAAGTCAGAGCCCTTCATGAAGCAATGTGGTGCTGAAAATAGCACAGGCCGCTGTAGTACCAAGTTCACCATCTTATACCTTGGTCATGTTGTTCACTAAAAATATCCATGACATTCTTATCAGGACAATAGACTTTGTGTCACATGACCTGGTTTTCCAAATAAATTCTACCTCTATGGCTTTGAGCTCAAGAAGTTCTTAAAATTCACTGTGCCTTGATTTCCTCGCCTTTAAAGTGAGGCTGAGAGTTTATACGTAGAACTTTTTGTTAAAATGAAATAAAAATAAAATGCATATAAAATCCTTTAAAAGAGTATAAATGCTATGTAAATGTTAATTATTTAAACAGCATTTTACATATTCCGCATTCCAATGTACTTTGATGTTACTGAATAGAGGACTGTATTTTGCAGATGACTAATAAATTGTAATCATTTGATTTACCTTCAAATAAAGACTCAGAGCTATAAGTGTATTTACTTTTTGGTACTGGGGATTGAACTCATGACCTTGTGCTTGCCAGGCAGGCATTTATACTGCTGAGCTAAGTCCCCGTCAAGAGCTATAAATTTATACATTCCTGTTGTATGCCCAGTATTACTCTAAGTACTTTTACATACATTTAATCATCGAATTATCACAGATTCTATGCAACAAGTCCTATTTGATTTTAGAAAATCAAGTCCTATTTTGTTTGGAAAAACCGAGACACACAGATGGTAAATAATGTAATAAAAATTATATAGTTAGTGTGTGCAGAGCAGTGGTTAAGATTCAGCCATTTAGACCTAAAGATCACACTTAACTATTCCATACTACTGTTGTCATCACTGAAAGAGTTTTAGGCGTTTTCTACGTCTCCAGGAATCATCTGTTCTGTGCCTGCTGTACAGTACTTGCTTCTGTAGCCTCCCAATACCAAGCAGCGAAAGCAGTTGCCTTGCTAAAATTAGTTTTCCTCCCTTGACATTTCTTAACATGGTTTGCAGAGATTGTACCACATTTCCTGTGTTTTACATCACTTTTTCCTGCCTAATATCCAACTTTTAGTAAATGGGTTTTACAAGAATCACCAAGTAGGAGTAAATGAAATACCTAGCTAACACAATACCTGTAAAAAATGAAGTTCTTTTTAAGATGCTTTCCTATTTTGTCTTTACAATCAGACCACCTAAACCTGCAGATCAATTTCAGTAAGTTTGAAATCAACATGGTTAGGGGCTGGGTGTTTAGCTCAGCGGCATAAGCGCCTGCCTTGAAAGCAGGCAGTCGTGAGTTCGATCCCTGGTACCGATAAAAAGGAAAAAGACAAAAAAAAAAAAAAAAAGAAAGAAAGAAATCAACATGGTTGCTCTCCAGAAAGTCATTGTTGTTCATGATATTTTCCCATGGGAAACCAAATTAGTGCATGGATGTAACAGATGAAAAAGTTTTAAAATGAGGCAAGACAACTAATTCACTTAGCAGGCTAGACAAGTTATTGGTTCTGGAACACATTTTGGCATCATGCTATTTTGGACTCTTTAATTCTTCAATGATCAGTCAATCCATCAATAAAACAAGAAATTTGCTTTCAGTTCAATTATTTATATTGAAATAATGGATTTTGTCAGGAAGCAGTGCAGGAATAAGTTGCACAAACTTGAGCCAGCCCCTAAGTATGAAGAATCAAACACATACATTGAAGTCAGATGAACTTGTGGCTCAATCCTGGGTTTAGATCCCTCTCTCATATTCTGTTTGGAGAGATCTCACAGGTTGTTTTCCCTTGCTGGCTTTACTTCATTGCTAAAGTGACGCTGGAAACAGAAAGGGTAGGATAAGGGTGACAGTTTTCCTGGTATCTTTAGGGTCCTCCTGGTTTTAGCACTGAAAATCCTACATCCCAGAAACCCTTTGGCCTCTGAATAGTCAATGACTGCGGAGGGGAGACCACATACTATATTGAGATGACCATGTGAAAGGCCTTGAAACTAAGCTTTGAAAGAGTTGTAATAGTGATTTGGTTTGAGTTTAAATATGTGCATGGGAACTTTTGGCTTAAGGTTAGATTCCGTGTCACCATTGCCTGAGATGTAGTTTCTTGTACAAGTGGTTTATTTTGAGCATGGTTAGGGGATCACACAAGGATATAAAAGAAGCAAATAAAACTGGAGGAGCAAGATGATATTTCAGCTCATTAGTCTCCGTTTGGGTCCTATGGGAAATTCTCACGTGTGAATAGCCCCATAGAACTGCTCCATTTTGAGACAAAAGGACTGTCAATTTGTACCCCCATATCATTCAGCTGCCATGTCCAGGTCACCTGTGAGGATATTTCTAAAGAAAGGAAGTTCTAGAAAGAAGGCACAGGGACCCTGTTCAGAGCCAACCTGCAGAGCATGTCTGCTCAGTGAAACACTGCCAACAGCTGCTACACTGCTCCAGGTGTTTTAAACAGAATTCTACTTTTCTCTTTAACTCCTGGGTTTACACTTTGGGTTTCTGATGTGAGAGAAACCATGGGATATTTAAGTTTGTGTTTCTGACTTATTTCACTCACATCACAGTTTTAAGTTGAATAGAAAACAGATAGGGAGATATCTTTGCTTATAAATAGGAAGGGAAAAGAGAGATTGAAGAGCAGACAGAAGAGAGGAAAAGAGGATGAATAAAATATTATGATGTCTTATGTACCAGTACCGACCCTCGCCTATGAATGTAAGCCTTATGTATCACATAAGCCCTGTTCTAATAAAAATAAAACAGATAAAATATTCTAGCAGTTAAAGTGGTAGAACCCATATTTAATATGTATCACCACTTTACAACTTCTGAATTGATCTTTAAAAGTCTCACAACTTCCCTTACTTGCTGTCTTTTAAAATTAATTATTGTTTGTCTAAAAGGGATTTTTAAACTTCTTGGAATAATGTACTGTTCACTAGAAAAAAATTCCTCGTTGGTTCTGGCTGGCATGCATGGAGGATGCTGTTATTAATCCATTAGCCTTCAGTGAGAAATCTAAAAACCCTGAGATGCAGTTGAGAGAGAAACAAGTGTTGTTTTTAAGTTGTAGGTAACATAATATGGTAGATTTGTGTAATTTAAAGAAAGCACTAAGATTAAGAGGGATGCATCTTCTCCAGGGACCTACAAGATTCAGAAAATGTTACAGTTAGTCAGCAGGATTATCATCGCTGATTGCCCATCAACAACTAGGAAAAAAAGAACATAAAAAAGTGAGCTTGTCAGCTAGTCCCTATGTGTAGAGTGATTTTAAGCTGCTCAATTTTAGAATTTTTCCAGAAGAGATATTGATAGTTAATTACTGATTTAATGAGAGTCCAGTGTTCTCACTGGGATGTGACATCTCAGTTTGTGTTTCTAAGATTTTTTTGTTTCACACTCATGTTTCAATACACAAGGGAGTGCAAGCTCTCTGTGCATTTGAAATTACTTGTTTTGATTTCAGTTCAAGTAGTAATTTCTTATAGTTATGAATGAGTTCCTAAATATGGAGCAAATTGCATTATTGCAAGTGTGAATGTCAGCACCAATGGGATGACTGGATCCTTGGGACTGTTTCTGTAAGGAGATTCCATCAAAACCCATTCAGTGCACACCACCAAGAAATACAGCATTGTCCTTCAGATGCCATCATTGTTTTTTAAAAAAGACAAAAATATATTTCAGTGGAGCAAGCCTGTAGGTTTTTTTTCCCTTTTCTGTGTAAACATTTATTTGCATCTGCAGCTTTCTATCTATCATCTATCTATCTATCTATCTATCTATCTATCTATCTATCTTTCTCTTTCACAGTGACTTCATTTTGCAGTTGGCCCTGCTGAGACTCAACATCTACCAATGCAATCCAAAGAGATTTTCAGAAAATATGTACCATATACCAACAACTGTGATGGCTGCGGAAAGTTCCCGTCTGCCCTCAATTCCCTGCTCCTATCATGCTTAGCTTACCGTGTATATTTTTTTTCTAGGAAGGGTAAATTTTGGGGCATTATGCTATCACTGACCACTAACTGTGTCATATATTCTATACCTGAAATAGAATAAAACAATATGTTAAACTAATGGGAATACCCCCAACATCTCACTCCACATTATAACTGCATTTTTATTTTTAAACTCATTGCACTCTCTCTCTCTCCCTCCCTCCCCCTCCCCTCTCTCTCTCTTTTTCTCTCTCTCTCTCTTTCTCTCTCTCTCTTTGTCTCAGACTCATGATTTCTACCCTTTCCTAACATTGTAGTAAATAAGATGATGAAACCACATTTTTCAAAACCACCTTCTAATTTCTGATGTCATTTGGCCCAGCAGGAGTCAGCTTTACACTCTAAATCTGCTTGAGGCAACATAAATAGGTTGTTATGCACTTAAAAAGTAAGATTAATAAGGGGGAAAGGGAAGTTAAGGCTCCATTCCCTTCTGGATGCAAATGACCGGCACTTTGCTTCTGCTGGTGGCTCGGAGAGAAATGCTTTAACATGAGCACCCAAGTCAAAACTGTCAAGAATTCCAGTTCCATCCCATGCCAGGGACTTATATAAACATCTACCTTGAAGGCCCTGGGAAAGTGACCTTGTGACCTTTGCTTATACTCAGCCCAGAAAGCCAAGAATTTTGTTACCTGTGTCAACTCATACTACTGTCTTTAATTGAGTGACCATGGACAAAACTATGAACAGGTTTTCTACTGAGACGTTCAGGATTTGGTGTGCCTTTTGTTCAACCTGGTCCTTAAAAATTACTAATGGGGCTGGGGGTGTAACTCAGTGGTGGAGAACTGGCCTAGTACACAGGAGAAATTGAATTGGACCCTCGACATTGCAAAAATAAGTGAATAAAAAATAAGAAAATACTTTTGAATGAATAAAAAAAATTCTATTTAATTTTTGTCAGTATCATTTAAGCTTTTTAATATTCCTCACTTCAGTGATCTTGAATTATCTATCCTAAACAACTCGTCCTGTGTAGTTATAAGACATTTACAAAGATAAAATGCTCACAGTCCTTGTAATGCGTTCCTTGTGCATTAAATTATTCTAGTGTCAACAACTGTCTACCAATTAGTATTGTTGGTATCTTAAAATTTAATGTTAGTCATATTAAGAGTGTAGTTACCTAAATCTAAAGTATTAATATTTCACAATATACAGAGAAAATATTTTTATGTTAAGTATTTCTCTGTATACAAAATATGCAGAGAAAAATATTTAAAAAATTAAAGCTTTAACGATAATTATTAACCAAAATGAACTGTAAGTTTTAAAAGTATTAAAAATAATGCGATAATGTTTGTGACTTTATTTATTCTCAATTTCCAATTTGTGTAAGTATTTGTTTTTACCTAAATTTGCATGACTTCAAATTCCAAGAAGTACATACATTCCAGCAGATTTATAATGAGAACAATACTTGCTCCACAATATCCATTGAAATACAGAAAGTCTGTGATGTATGAACATTGGAGTTGTGAACTTTTAGATTAGGAAGGGACCTCACACCATAAGCATTTGTAGACAAATCAAATGTGAGTACTAGCTTACGTGTCTGCTGGACACAGTAGTAGCTGTACTGCTGAGTCTTGTGCAGTATGATAGTGGACAGTAGCCCAGTGCTCAGTCAGAGCCCAGCATGGCTACAAGCAGAAGGAAAAGCTGTGATGATGTACAGGGAACCACTAAGAAATACAAGTACGATGCACTGTATGTTTGTGTCAGAGGTGTATAAGGCTCATTTTGTTGGATCTATGATAAAACCCGACTTATGAACATTCTCCCAGAACAGAACTCGGAACATGTTTGTAAATCCTGGCCTTACTGTATCTTACTGGTTGATGTAATCTAAGTCTTAAAGAGGTTAACAAATTTAGCCTTTCCCACCATAAGTCTCTGAGCTATGAGCATGGTAATGACATGTCATGGTGGAGTTAAGAGAATTAAATGAGCTCATCTGTATACTCTAAAGGGCTCGCTGCACAGTCCTTAGTAAGAACCCACATGCGCTACCTATTAATTACCAGAGAGGGCCTGATAGCTATGCAAAACTAAGGACTTCAGCTTCCTACCAGGTGTGTACTTCAACTGATGAAATTGATGAGTTGTTCAGTGAGCTGATCAAAACGTGTTTCTAGAACATACTATGATAAACTAAATTTTTAAAATGATGAGGCATCCTCAGATTTGCAAAGCAAAACTACTCTTATATTTTATTTCATAAACACCTATGATCGTGTATGAGAGACCATAATATTGATGGTAATGCCTCTCTTGATAATTTTTCCCAATTTTTTTCTGCTTAGCACTATGCAAAGGAATCTAAGGATTTACTACTGCCGAGGAAGCCATTGAGAAGTATAATATGCTTGGAAAGAGATCTGAGAATATTTTATTATAATAAACCCTCATTGAGGAGATAAAAAAATGAGAAGGAAGATTGATTTTTGTAAAATTACATTAGTCCCAGCTGTGAGTCCTTCCTTACATCTGGAAACTGAGTTTTCTTGACTATGGTGTGGACTTTAACAGCTCCTAAATTAATCATAACCTGAGCAGGTCTGCTTGAAGCACTGCCTTGAACTTTGATCCATTCCTGTTGTTCTGTATGCCATCAGTGGGTCAGCTGTGGACTCTGGTGTTCCTAGTATATTTTGCATACTTCGTTTCTCTGTAATTACAAAGGTTATTGTTTTAGTTTTGTTGCTAGTTGTTTTTGCTTGGGTTTGAACTCAGCACCTCATACATGGTAAGAATGCATTATACCACTAAACTACACTTGAAGCCCAGTATAGCTTTACAGAATCATGTTTATTCTCACCCCAAGACTGACTCTGTGCTCAGCGTCACCCTTTTGCCTGTAACAGGTGTGAGTAAACCACGACTGTGCACCAAATCCAGCTGCTACTTGTTCTGGTAAAGCCTGAATCAAGCTTCTGTTTCTGCCTTCTTAGGTTTCACTTTCATAATCCCTAAATAACCACTACTCTGTACCTTTCCCTCCATGTTCTAGGCAGAGAAAAGGGACAAAGAAGATACAGAGGAAAGGTCAGCCTACAAGAGGGCAGCACGACCTAGGAAGAAGTTGGAAGTAGCTTGTACTTTTCACTGGCTAAGACAGTGTCCTTTGACCACTAGTAAGGGCACAAGAACTTCTAATGGAGCTCCATGTTGGTCACATCCCCTGAACTAAGCATCTGTTTCTGTGAAGGACAATAAATGTCTGATGTCTTAAGTCATATGCAGCCATCCCTCCCAGCTCCCAAATAGATAAATACTAAACAACATAATTCATTATTATTGATTTGACCCACAGGTGAGCTTCTAAATGAAGACCTGGCGTAAGTAATGTAAAGCTGAGACACTAATCTAAAGAATCATCGATTCAGAGCCAGGGAGAACAATTCTCCTTGCCCAACCGAAGGTGGTGACTGCAGAGCACCGTTTAATTCAGCACTTTAATTGGTTATTTGTAAAGTTAATCTTTGTATCTTGATGATAATGCATGAAAATGAAGTGCAGATTAGGGCTGACCCCATGGCAGTATTTGCAAAAAGTAAAGATACTGAAATGTTGTGTAGGCAGTGTTTGGACCCCTACTGACGGGACTTGCCCCAGGAGCTTACCCTTTAGGGAGCAGCAAAGGT